CCTTAAGTTTTTCTGTGGCAGGTAATCCTAGCAATTATTTTGGAGAATGCTCTGTTGACTCCTGCTGATAAAAAAGAACCATGCAAAATAAGCAGCCCCTTAACTTTGAAACAATATTGTTGTGATATACGTGACAGCTGCCAGGTGTTATGCTGAAAGAGCTAGACTGCATAAAAATATGAAAACAAAATGCTTGAACTAAAGTTTAAACTGTTTAAAAATAACCTGTTGTGCTCCCTTTGTTTCCGCTGCCTGCAAGTGTTGAGTGCCAGCAGTGTAACACTTGACATTTGAGGCAGACAAACATAGCCTACAGATTCTGTGATTGCTTTGCAACCAGCTAGCATTTTTTAATCATGCCTGKTTTTGTCAACACTGGGGGTTGTTTCTAAACAAGCCAGCTAAAAATGGGAATTAAATTTAATTTCTTGCTTATTTTCTGAAGCTACAGAAACCCTAAAAGCAAGAAACCTGTATTTTCACTGCTTCTCTCTCCAAGACCCACACTTTCTAACAAATTCACACCCTTGCTCTCCTGCTGGATCAAGAGGAGGCAGCAAAGAAACGGGGTAGTTCATGTGCCTCTAAGGGCGTGGATCCATTTTTTCATCTGGCAGCAAAGGTGATTCAGGAGTTTCTTGCCAAATGGCCCTGCTTCTTATAGCTGCCCARTTGCCACCACTCACAGGGCATTTGTGCTGAGGCAGCTGTTTGCTGAGATGTGCTGAAATCAAATCATTCAAATGATCCAGGTTTAAAAATATCTTCCTTCACCTCAAAAAACCAACAAAAAAAAAAAAATAGATGTCATTCCAGTGACATTCCCATTCTTAGCACAAAGAGCTGTAGCAATGCAAATGAGCAATGAACCATGGAACCAAAGCAGGAAGAGGTGAATGGGGACCCAAGGGGGAGAACCTGCTTTGGTTGGCATTGTTGCTTCTGGAGACATTCATATAGGTTGTAACCAACTATCTCATCTATCTGTGTTGAAGTAGATTATGAAGCCATTCAGCCCTTACCTTTCCTCCCCACTTCTTAAATTGAAGAGTTTGTGATCTTGTAAAAGTAATAGTGCAATCAAAATTCTCAATTCTATCAAGGACTTTTCTGTTATCCTCAAATACTTGGCTGGAATCTTTCTCATGTAAATGCTTAAAAGCCAGATCTAGTCTAAGCCAATCACACAGAGTGTCTCTAGAGCCAGTAGAAAGAAACAGGAGGCAAATACTGAAAGATGCTGAATACCTGCAACTTTGAAACGACTCATCAGGCTCAACTCTGAGATCCTTACACTTTATTCATGCAAATTCTGGCGTGCCAGATGCTGAGGAGTGCTGAATGGCTGCWCAGTGGGAGTTGTGGTTGTTCGGCACCTCCAAAGAATTGGCATGTAAACTCCAGCCTGGACTTTGCTTATGGGAAAAGTAAAACCAGCCATCAGTCATGTACAGTGTTCTTCCCACTTCATGAGCTGGCCTGGTGAAAATTTCTGGAGCTTTTTGAAAGCACTATCTGATGTCACTCAACACCACGGGAAAATAKAAATCAAAGTGTGAGTATTCAGCACTCTCTCAGCATTGGGCTAATGTGATTAATGTAATCTGAGATAAACACTTTAGTTATTCCCTAATACTTTTAGGGACCCAAAGGGTTGGGACTTGTTATTCTAGATAATATGAAAAACAAGCCCTACCCATGAGATCTCCAAGGCTGAGATAAAGCTCAGGTGGAAGTTTGACAACAGTTACCTAATAGCAATGGACAGACACGATGAGATGTTGAATCTGGACTGCCTCAAAGGCATGTGGCAAGGGCTGKGCCATGCTCAGCACAGAGCTTTCCTCTGGCAGCAGGGTAGGGTTGCAGTAACAGGGAGAGCAAAATAATCCAGGATGAGATTACAAGGMTCTACAGAGCAGTCAGACGCCTGAATCCCAGTGACCCCAGTGACACTGAGTAGACCTGCTTCTGCATTCTCTCTTTCCCAGTCACAGCCTGGTTCAAAACAGGTTTGGTTTTTTTTCCTGCAAAATCTGCAGCTGAAATCTTTGTCTTGGACATTTCCAGCACATTGTATAACCCCAAGTTGGGTGGGCTCTTGTTGGAAGGGAAGAATGGACTTAATAATGAGAACAAAGTTGCTGCAAACCTTTTGATGGTTTCTTGTCTTGCATGAAGAGACCATACCTCAGTCACTGTATGATTCAGAGACAAACACTAAAGTGTCACAGGTGTGAAAACACAAGCSTGAAAGCCAGGTAATGGCCCTACTGTCAGTTTTGTGCTTGCTTCACTCCTGGCTGGGTGTGATGGAAAATGATTGCTCTTGGAAAGGCACATTGAGGTATTGCAAGCTGGCAGCCTGCTGAATCCAGCAAGGTGCAGGGAGCAAACGCTTCATCCAGCCAAACCCAGTGGGAATGTGTTGGAGTTCCAACATTGTTTTGCTGACACAGGAAGATGTCATCACAGCAAAATATGAAGGAGTTAACATATTATGAAATATGGTTTTGGCAGTGATGAAGAGAAAGATTGTTTTGCTTGAAATGCAGTACCAGCAGTGCTGGTTAACAAGGTAATGCAGTCAGCTTGCACATTACWTTGTGCTTTATTTCTTCTAATATATTGCATCCAAATCCTGTGAAATACTCAGCKTAACTTTAAACTCGTAGATAGTTCTTTGCTTCAAAGTTGATCTTGATTTAATTTAAATTTCTGAATAGTGGCTGGTTAGACTGGCAAGTGGAAGTGCTGAAAGAAGCCTGCCTTGCACAGGAAGAGAAATGGCAAGGTACCAGTGTGGGTTAAAGTACAAAAAGAAAAAAATAATAAAAATGCAGGAATTCTGTTTTAAACCTCTTGCCAGTCTTATCCCTTTACAGGATGAGAAGTGAGGAGGGTTGTCCTATGCCTGCTTACACACACTGCTGAGGGCTTGGTGCACAAAATTGCACAACCAGTTTCAAAATTACTTGTAGCTAGTCCAGGTACTCTGATTGCCCTTCCAAAAATAAAAGCAAAATTTTCAGCATCACAGAAGACCAATAAACCACCAACACTCCTGCACCTACAAAGAGATCGCCACATGCCTTATATCAAGGAAAGTCTAGCCATGTATTTACTGCTGATACCTGRCTTTTGTAATCACGTTGAAAGATTTGCAATCAGCACTTTCCAGGGCTGAGAGGCAGATCTTCTATAATCGGGGCTCAATTAGCTCCCTGCCTTTCAGCTGAAGATCTGGGCCCCTGGGCCCAACTCTTTACCATACTTTTGCATAATCCTGGGATTCAGCCCTTCTCCCAAGCATTGCTGGAAATGGACTTTTGCATTCGAGTAGGCAGCTGTTTCTCCCACGTTTTTCACCATGTTTGTGCTCTCAGTGAAGTACATTATAATTTTAGCAAGCAACAGCTATTTTTGTCTGAAAGATYCCTGTACATAAAAATGCTTTCTGGGTCCTTTATGTTGCAGTGAGTAGCAATGAGTGCCTTGCTTTGAAAATATGAATGTAAGTCAAAGATTAGTCCGCATTTCAAATAGTAAAGAAGTTTCTCAGGTARTATTTCATTGAAATAAATAGGGCTGTTTCAGTTTAGAGGAAGATCCTTTTTATCAAGGATCTTGATAAAAATGGCCCTGTGAACTCTATTTGAGTTCTAGATACAAATAAAGAAATAGGGATCTATTTCTTTTCATACCTTCATGCTGTCCTGTTTGTTCATGACACTTAAATATGTAGTAACTGGAATGAAGCCTAATAGGCAATTTATACTTAACACACCACTAGTTCTTACTTATTCTCRTAGTACACTCTAACACTAAGTACTTACAAAAATGCTCCAGAAAATCATCCATCCCATGCTTCAGTTTCTCACAAGCATCCCTGCTTCAGTGTTTGTTGCTAGATGTGTCTATTAGCAGTACTGTTTTGATGACTTGCTKTTTCAGAACAATTCTATAAATGATTGAGATGTTAAAATTCAGAGGATACTACTTTGTAATTTTCCCTCTATTGAGTAGTATGTTGACATCAATTAGTTCACCCGAGATCATGGTGATGTTCCAAAGCAAGCTGAAGCCCTGCAGCATGGCTGGTTTAATTTTAAGAATGTACAATAATGTATGTGTGCATCCAGGAACACAGAGGGAAAAAAAAATCCGGTCTATTGCAAGTCAAATTGTGGTTTTAATGATGAAGACATAAGGCTCTCCTAAGCTAGCAAATCACCCATTTGTATATATTTTATCTTTAATAGGATTTCTGATACTATCACAAAGCAGTCTTCATTCTTTGCCAAAGGAATCTGGAATTAGTAAAATGTTTCTGCCTATTACACTGCTCTGTTAAATATTCAACTAATTTTAGGGATTCCTTTTATTAGCAACTACAGTGTATCACGTCCAGATTCTTTTTTCTACTGTAAATGTAGGATACCTATGCAAACAAAGGAGAGATATAAACTGAAGTTTATATCTCTGTATTACTTAYTTACTGAAGTTAAATTTAACTCAACTGAGTTAAATTGAAGTGAAATAATTATTAGAAGACACTAAAGAAAAAAAGAAAACACATCCAAGGCAGATTTCATAACAGCAGAACAAGTATAATTTTGAGTGGCAATGCACTGGCAATAACATTTGGCTCTGGTTCACATCAATCTGGAGGCCCAACTACACAAGCCAAGCTGGCTCAGGATCACTTCTGAACAGGCATTTATCACCTTCAGTGCAACAATATTCCAGAGGTCCAAGTCAGGACTAAGCCCTTTGCACAGATTCGACACGCTCACGCAGCAYAACCCTTCCTCAGCCACTAGTCATGGCAAAAGTGGCTCTTGCATTAGAAGTCTGTCTTAGCTTCCCAAATTTCCATGCTTCTTGCCTTTTCCCTTCTTTCCCACTTCATCCTGCTTTCCTGCATGTTGTGAATCTTACAGATTTTAATGCAATTTGTATTTTCCTCCTCCATTTGGCAACTTTTCCTTCCTTTGCAGACTGGTTCTGAACCATACCCTCAAGGACGGGTGGAGGAAGCTCCCGTGAGCAGTGAGAGGGGTGACGAGCCGGCTCGTCATGTCTTCTCCTTCTCCTGGTTGAACTCACTGAATGAATGATGACTCACTCTGGCTGGCTTCTGGCGTGCCTCTCCTCGGAAGGACCGTGAGCACAGGCAGCCTGGCTGCAGTCGGCAAAGAAACTGGCCTGGAAAGGGAYATCCGAGCAGRTTTCATTCSTAGGAACTCAGCTGATCTCCACATYGTACCCTTGAGATGACAGACCTGAGAGGGAGGGGAGCATGGGGACAGATTACTRTATGTATTGTAGTCAGAATGTTTTCCAATAATTTCTTGTTTCCAAGGGGAAAGAAGCATCACTACAGCTTTAGGCTGAGCACTGCTAGTGTTTTGTAACTCACATGATGGCACRTCCCCATATAGGTGTAAACACTTCACCAATGTTCTTAGCTAAAATGCTGGTATGATATTCACTGGTAGCATCCTTCGCCAAAACAGTGTTTGTCCTCTGTATCCTCCTGTGTCCCCGCTTGTCGATGCTGGTGACTTCAGTGGCACTATCATGTCCTTGGCAGCCCCAMGTCAGGGTTGTGTCTAACAGTACTGGTGCCTCCCAGGCTGCGGAGGCTGAGCACGGGAGGGAAGAAGGAAGCTGCCACTTCTTCCTTTGCACTTGCTCTTCCTAYGAAACCTCAACAGATGATGCTCACAGAAACATGTTRTTTGTAAGGAAGATTCCCAGGGGCATGGATGAGGAAGATGCACWCACCAAAAGCACTGGCCACGACCCCCACACAGCTCTGAGTGTGTAGGGCAGCTGCTGAAGTGCAGCCCAGTCTGTCCAGCCGTAGACTGTCTCTGTCTTCTCAGTCATCCGTGTAGCTACAAAAAGGGGCACGTCCTTACATGAAACCAGAGTGCGATGAGGTGGTCCCATGTACTCACTCAAGGTTTAATTTGAAGCCCCTGTGCTGTGCTGTAGAAAAGGCAGATGCTGACTGTCCTGTTCGATGAGCATTGCAGATGTTGAGCCATCTACTGAAATCAAAATTATGTCTTAAAAGAGGCTCTACAAGTTGTGCTGAACGCGACACACTGTGATTTTTGTCACTGGGAGCAGGGTGTCAACACTCAGCAGTGTTTAAGAGATAKTGGCAGGCTGCCGGGAGTGCCTGGTGCCATAGGGGACCAGGTGTCAAGCTCTGCACTAGGGTTATGTGTGGATCTTTCCCAAATCCCGGAGCCAGGCCCTCAGTGCACTGTTTTGGCAGGGGACTGTGAGGGSCCATAAGGCTGCGCTGTGCCCCAGCAGGACTGGTGAGCCGGCAGTGCAGACTGGTTAGCAGAATGTGTGGGGTCAAACCCTGTCCTGGACACTGTCGCTGCCTGCCCGAGTGACACCAACCCTCAGTGGTGTCTGTTTTCCCTGGAGAATGCTCCTGCGGGAGTTTCGGAGGGCTGCACAGGCGAGCTCCGCGCAAAGCTTTGGAGCTCGCACAGCCCGGAATGAGCGCCGCCCAGCACCGCCACCGCATCGCCTCCGGCTGCTGGAGCCTTTCCCTGGGATTTGGTTCGGGGTGGGGGATTTACTATTTTCTCCCAGTCGTCCTGGAGATTTCCCCCAGCTCCTCCCGGGCAGTTTCTCCACATGCGGTGATGCCTCTCTAGAGCCCCCGGGGGGAGCCCGCTCGGGCGCCGCCGTGGGGACGGGGAAGCCGAATCGGGGAGGAACGTGCCCTTTTGGGGTGCGGGGAGGATGCACAGAGCCAGAACGAAAACGCTCAAGAGATACGGCAGCGCCTCACCGCTTTCCCATCGCTGCTCCCCGGCGGGAGGAGGGTGCCCGATCCCGGCCGCAGCGGCAGGAGCCAGGGAGCGCCCTCGGGGGGCTGCTGAGGTGGGATTCGGTAGCGCCGGGGGCACCGATTTGCCCTCGACACTCCGTTCCCGGGGGCAGCCTGCACCGAGGGAGGCGGCGGGGGCAGCCCGCGTCCAGCGCCGGGCGTCGGGGCATGCTGGTGGAAGAGCCCGCGGAGCCGGGGCTGCCCGCGACGGGGAGGGGAAAAACATTCCCGGGGAAGAGACAGAACTCCCCGAGCCCGGGGTGTCCACGGCCGCGGGCAACCCCCTCCTGGCCCCGGTAAGCGCTGAGGGAGACGGAGCAGCCCTCAGGCGTCTAGGCAAGAAAGTCTATCAAGTCATCTTTACTTTGCAGCTTTTATTAAAAATATAAATATTAAACATTCTCTTACACAACCAAATCGACCGAGCGCTGAAAAGATGTTTTATTGTGAAAATGTTTACAGGGAAAAAAGTGGATTGAAAGTAGCTTACAGAGATTCCCCCTCCCACCTCCCTGCCCCTAGCAGAAAAGTTTTCTGTCTTCTTGGCACCATTTCTTCCAATGCTCACACATCCCTACGTAGCGATGGCACTAGAATAACTGGGAAATGGAGAAATAAATAAAGGTAGGGGAGGTTACGAACGACACTCGTGTTTCTGCACTTGGTACACGGTTGTGCATGCTAGTCAAGGGACAGAGGCTGTTCGGAGTACACCCTTCTAGGTTTAAAGCTATATAAAAATAAAGAGATGACATCAGAGCAGCACTATGGTACATCGGACGGTGTAATTATTCTTGTGCTAACTGCGGAATCTCTTTGGCAAGGCGGGGAGGGGCCGTTTCACTTCCCGATTATCTCCATCAGTTTCCTGTTGCTGTGAGCTTGCTGCGCTAACTGCTCGGCTCGGGCCATCTCCAAGACTTCTCGCAGGAGGTGGAAAGTCAGATCCAGAGAAATAGGGGGCTCCTCGGATCGCTTCTCCCTCTCCACGGCCTCACCCTCGGCTTCGCCGTCCTCTCGGCTCCCCRGCGAGCGCTCGGGCAGCTGCTGCAGCTGTTGAACCGCCGCCCGGAAAAAGTTGCTGGCGGAGGCTTCGGGCTGTAGGTGGCTGGTGCTGCTGGAGGAGGCGGAGAAAGAGCCAACGGGTCTCTTGTGAAGGTTGCCCAGGCGCAGGAAATACTCTTCTCCCATGCGGAGCAGGACGGGCAGAGTTTGCTGCTGCTGCTGCTGTTGCTGCCGCTGCTGGAAGAAATCTGGCTGGTGCAGAGCCCCGGGGGCGGGTGCCGGGCTCTTGCTGAGAGCTCTGCACTCCTGGCAGGGCAGGAGGGCGACCAGCAGGATTCCCGTGGAGACCAGCAGCGGGATCTTCATGATCGGGGCCCAAACCTGCGGGGGCAGACRGGGAACGGGGTTGGGTTACACAGCCGAGCCGCGGCGGCGGGGAGGGCAGCGCGGGGCCGGGGAGGGGGCGTCCCTTCGGCCGCTGTCCCGGTGCTGAAACACGCCGCTCCGCGCCCCTCCGCGCTCCTCCGCGCCGCTCCGCGCTCCGCACGCCACCCCCGGCCTCGCTCACTCCTGCCCGTTCACCCGCGCCGTCGAGGCGGCAGCCCCGGCAGAATAACCCCGTGGAAGAGCCCCGCGGGGCTGCTCCGGGCTGTGCCGGCGGCGGCTCCCGGGGACCAGGCTGGACTGAGCCCCTGCGGAGCATCCACGCGTGTTCGCCACCCGCGCCTCTTCACCCACCCGGGGCGAGGGACAACGTGGGGTGCCTGCGGCGGGGCGCCTTTCCCCACGAGCTGCGGGGTTCGAGCGCCCGTTCCCCGCCTCCCCGCTCCCTGCCCGGCCAGGACAGTTCCCCGCATCCCGCGGGACGCCGCGCTCAGCCCCGCTCAACGCGGGGCAGCGCATCCGCTGCGCGCCCGGGCGCGGCCCCGCACCTACCTGGGGCGGCGGTGGMGGCGGTGGGGCAGGGCGGGCRGCGGCGGGACTCGGCGGTGCCCGGCGTCCCTTCCTCTCGCTCTCCCTCGGAGCCGGCTCCTGCCGAACTTGGGATCAGATTTGGTACTAATCAGAGCCGGGGCGCGGGATTTTTATAGCTTAGACCCTCTCCTGGAATCACGCAGAACTTGCCTAATAAGCTGACGCTCTCCTGACAGCCCGATTGCGTGCCCCGATCTACTGCTGAATAAATCATGGGGGCCCGTCGGAGCGGCGATGGGCCGAGTTTCGCTATCGCAACCCCAAATCTCACGTCCAATTATATCAACAGATATTTATCGCCTCTGCAGTGACGTCAGCCGGGCCGGGGGCCGGGGAGCAGGATGCCCCCCCCACCCCCCCACCCCATTGACAAAAATACTTGAATGAGATTTCCTAGCGGGCGCGTACTATGAGAGGTCACTCCGGGGAAACTTTCCACTCACGGGCCGGCCCGCGGGGAGGGACCCGACCCGAGCGGGGCCGGGATTGATATCTCGGGCTGTCTCCTTCCCCATCTCCGGTCGTCCCCGGTCCCCCGGTTCCGCCGCCTCCGAGCCCGCCCKCACGGAGCGACTGTGGCGGCTCGGCGCGGGATCTCCGCGGGGCGCGCGTTCTGCTCGGGTCCCGTCTTTGCTCCGCTCCCGGGGCCGGCCCGGGCCGGGACAGCGCTCGCCCTGCAAAGCGAGCAGGGTGGCAGTCGAGCCCTCGGGAAAGAGGCAGAGCCGCTGCCATTGCCGGGAGGGACCCGCGGCAGCGCCGGCACCGCGGCTGTCCGGAATCCCGCCAGGGGGAGAGGGGGCGGAAAGCCCCCGGAGGTGGGGAGGAAGGTCGGGACCACGGCCGGGGGTGCCCGGGAGCACCTGCCGGGGCAGGAAGCGTGGAGTGCTGCCCGCTCCTTGTCCCCTGCAGCCGCTGGCAGCGCCGCCTGCTCGTCCCGGCCCTGGCTCCGCGCTGCCGGCACCCGCTCCCCCGGCCCGGCCCGTGCTCCTCTCCATTGTTTTCCCACCGTTTGCGTGGAGGAAACAGCTGCTCTTTTCCCCCCTTCTGGACTCCACTAGCTGATCTTCCCCACCTCTTCAACGCCATGGCCGTGTGCTCCCCCTGTTTGCCCTCCTCAGCTAGGACCCTCCCCTCCAGCCTGTCCTAATCCCACGTGGAGCTTTCTTCGAAGTGCTCTCCCACGACCAAGCCATGTCTTGAGGCTGCTGATCATATTACACCAATGTCTCCACCTGGGTTTCTTGCCCTCTGGTCTCTTCAACAGGTAGTGCTGCCKACAGAAATAACTTCTGTGTTATTCCACGTGCAATGGGTGTTCTTCCATTTTTGCATCCCATCATCTTTGCCAATGCCTCTCAGTCGTGCTTCTCCATTGCCTCAGTTGCAACACCAATCATATCCTTYCCTTTAAATCAGAGAACTTTTACAGAAAACCTACTGGCTTTTCTTGCCCAGACAGTAAACTCCTGGGGTCACACACTTACGTGTCTCCAATCATAGTGAGGAGTTGGGGCAGAGCAGGTGGCCATTGATACTAAGTAAGTGATAAATCTGAAATCCATTTCCTTAATAAAATGACAAAGTTAAAACCACTTAATGCATGACGCTGGCCACAGCCCAGTTCTGAGCATCTCCTTAGGGATGCTCTACACTTCAATTTTAGTTWTACCTAGCTCCAGCCCTGGATGCTTTTGGCAAAGTGCCAAAGAATCAGATCTCGTGCATCACAAAGAAACAAATGGGAAAACAAGTAGTAATGCAGGAGATTTAGCTCTTCGTTACCACTTTTTGCTCAGGCATTCATGAACTGAAATGTGTATTGCAGAACAGAATATTTTGTGTAGCTAGTCACAGCACAGCTATTTGTATGCTTTTAAAGCATGTCAGCACGGCTTTCAGTGAGAACAAGAGGTTCAAAGAACAGRAGCTAAGTTCAATCAGTTGATGGAAAATGTAAGAGGCACTTATTAAACTCAAAC